TGGGAAACATTCTGAACACAGAGACTCCTCGAAGTCAAGGCTGAAAAGTTAGTGAAAATGATCAGCAGAGTGTTTCAGCAGGTTATGTCAGGTTGTGTCAGGTTGTGTCACTACATATAATAAAATAACACCCGCCGAGGCCTTTTAAGAGAGTAGGTCATGTGACAATGAGCATGTGACAAAACAATTATATACAGAAATATTTGACAGTTTTTAAAGATTTGGCTGTTCTAATATCCAGAAGAAGCCTGTTCCAGAGTCTGGGACCAGCTCCAGAGAAAGTCTGGTTCCCTCTAGTGAAATTATACTATTTTTTGGTCACACCATTTGCTATTTTAAGAATCAAAGCTAATAATTGCATTATTTTTGCATTAATACTTTGCAGCTGATGTCATCAACATTCTCTGGATCTGTGATGTTAACTGAAGGTACTACTCTATCTGAAGCTTTATTTTAATACAGTCTGACCAGAAACAGCTGATTTAATTGGAACTACAACACATGAGCTGATTTCTCTTGTTCAACACAGTTTTGAATTTTTGTTCAAAATCAAACTTCTAAACTGGACCATAAACACTTGTATCAATCTCAGGCTCCTGAAAATGCGTTAATTAAATCCATTATGTTGTTGTTGTTTTTTTAGTTTCAAGACAATCTTAAAACTTATTGGGCAGTGTTTGCTAATGTGTATACTGTGCTTCCCTGAAAACTTCTGAACATGCTGCTACAGAGGTACATGTAGAGCACCTCCAGCGTGATGTTGCTGCGAAATATCAATAACTGCACAGGTGGTCTGGCAACAGTTAATTTGTGTAATCCTTGCATATTCTTTGATCCAGTGTTTTGTCTCTTCTGCTCACCTCTGCTGACAACACTGCCCTTGTTCTTCAGGCTCATCTGTTCAATTACATAAGAACTGACTTTTGTCCTTATCAAACACCACACTTCTATAAGAGTAACCCAGCCTGTGATCCCATGTGTCGTTGTGTGGAGCTCTGGAGCAGTCTGTACAGATCAGGTAAAGAGAATGGGCCCGTTGTGAGCATGGTTTTGTATTAAAGGTTGTGGTCTGAAATCTGCAGCTTTGATCTCCTCATATGATCCACAAAGGCTCACGGCTGGAGGAGCTGAGAACGTAAGAGAGAAGCACATGTCTCCTGCCCCGAGTTCACACGATTTCAATACAAAACAATGCACATAAAACCACAGAATCGGACTGTAGGGGGCGCTATATGTAGACAGATGTAGTTAAATAAAAATGCATATCAGGTAAACTCCTCAAGCTAAAGTACAAGACAAGCTCAAGATCCAGGTCCCCATTGCTCCGTTTTCTACCAATGTTATAACATTGTTCTCTCATCAGAAACCTGCCTGAAGAGGTTTTAAATGTCCATTCATGTTTGAGTAATCTGTTTGAGTATCTAGTGATCTCTCTTGGCCCCTATTCAAATTCTCTTTCTGTTTAGCTGTAAGATTCTGTGCAGATTCTGCTCGGCTGGTTTTCATAAATATACAAAAGCATGATACAAAATAATGCACTACAACTTCACAAACCTGATGTGATGTGCGGTAGTTTCATTACTGGAATGTAACGCAAAAGTGATGTGATAGCGCTCTGAACGGAGGATGACTTAGCGCAGAGAGCAAATGGAGAAGAGACTCAGTAGCCAGGCTGATGCCACCTAGTGCCTCCGCTTAATTTAATTTCTCTCCAGGAACTAAGTCAGGAATCAAAATACACTAGATGGTTCGCAAAAAACCCCAGAAGTGCAAGTTCGGCCACCAGCCAATCAGTGAAGAGTCATATATTCTGTGTTGGCAACGATTCCGGAGTTCGAGGATTTAAAGCCGGAACAAAGAGAATGTTTGGTGAATTTTATCAAGGGGAAAGACGTTATTGTTCTTCTTCCTACTGGATTTGGGAAAAGCTTAATACACCAGTTAACCCCATTAGTGGCGCATGACATATGTCACGACCAAATAGCAGCGATTGGTTAAATGACAAAAAGTGCCATCTACTGTCGAGCGAACGAATTCTAACACTGTGATAAATCAGGCTAGAGACTCAGTGCATCAAAAACAAAAATGAAAATTATTAAACATATTAATACATCATTTTCAGCAAATATAGCATTTTCAAAACAATAAACTGTAATGTAAAATGGTGATTAAAATATGTTATGTGTTAGAAATGAATCAAATTCTTCACTGGTGTTGTCTTTATCAGGAAAAAGCTGTTACGCATGCATCGTTATAAGATGACATCAAAACTTTTAACTGATACATTTGCAGTGACAGTATACAAAATACAAGATAGTCCGAAAACTCTGAATCTCTGAAAACTGATTTAAAACATATTTTCAGGATGTTCATGATCCTGTTTAAGTGAAAAACTGAAAAAAACAATGGGCCAGCAAGTTTGTGACTGTAATTTTAAACTGCACAAATCAGCTCACCTGTCGTAGCTTCAGCTAAATCAGTTCTTTTTGGTCCAATTGTGTGAAAATAAAGCTCAAATTAAGCTCAGATAGAGTAGTGCTAACAGTTAGCACTGCACCTCCAGGGAATAGTGACAACATCAGCTGCAAAGAACAAATACAAGCTGATAACTTTATATGGACACAGTGGAAAAAAGTCCCAATTTGTGACATCATTTACAATTCGCTGATTCTGAGTTTTTTCCTGGTAAACTTGAGATGACGCAAATCCAAAATGTAAAAATTTTCCAAACTGACCGTTGACCCTTGAACCCTGCCCTTCATCTGTGTCCGGACACTGAGGAGGCCTGGAACTTATAATATATGTGATGCGCTCTGAAGGTGGAGTGAGTGTGGAGAGCAAAGGAGAGCAAAAACAAATGGGAAACTGTGAACTGTTTTCGGCAAATATAGCATTTTCAAAAGAATAAAAAGGTAACATGGAAATCCAAATATGTTATGTGTTAGAAATGAATCCAACTCATCACTGGTGTTGTTTTTACTGGTAGTTTGCAGAGCTTTAAGTATCAGTATTGGTATCTGAGAAGATGACCCCAAACCTTCAAATACAATGGGATAACTCTTTATGGACGCAGTGGAAAAAGCTCCCAATTTGCAACGTCATTTAAAATTCTTTGATTCTGAGTTTTGTTTTTTTTTTCTTTCCGGCAGACTTGAGATGACGCAAATCCAAAATAGAAAAATTCTCCAAGCTGACCCTTGACCTCTGACCCATGCCCTCCATCTGTGTCGGAGCGCGCCTGTCTGAGGAGGCTTGGCCCATATAAGCCCATGAGCCTGTATTGAGTGTCTGTTGGAGTGGATCGTGTTACATAAGCGCAGTCCTGGAGGATCTCATGACAGCTGTAGTAGATTTTCTTGCTGAGCTCGGTCATATCGCGTTGCAGCCGCAGCGAAGCCAATTAAGGAGAGTGACGTACAGTTACTCTTCAAGCATTAATATTTGATGAACAGAAGTAGGTAGTACTCACTTACATTTACTTTAAGGAAATTGTACTTTTCAACAGCATACTTAAGAAATATTTGTATTGAAGTAACAATAAAGAAAAAGTTTTAGTTAAGTCTACAAGAGACAAAAGCTTGATGTGGACAATAAGAAATGATTTGAATATTTGCATTTCGCTCCTTCAGATATAATTTATTTTTTTAATTTTGTGGTTTATCCTTTGAAAATAAAAGATTTTATGCAATGTCCTTCAGATTACATGAACTTCAAATTGCAAGTCAGACGTTACTCTTTAAGTTACTCTTACTTAAATAGAACTTTCCCCAAATCATTTACACTTGAGTGATCTCCTGGACCATCACTCTGTACTTCTACTCGAGTTAGGGTTTTCAAAAGTATCGAAACTCAGATACTAACTGATAGTAAAAAAAGCATTCTGACCAGAACTGAAGAGGCAGCTTGGATGAGCTGCGAAACATTTTCCACTTAAATAAATGTTTGTCCAGTTGACAAATTGAATTTCTCTTTTGCCATGGATTCTACCTGAATGACTGAGGGACTCTACACACACAATTTAAAACTAGTATCAAAACTAGATACTCTTTTGAGGACTATCAATACTAAAAAAGTCACATTCACAGGACACAAATGAACCTTTTCTGAATAGTTTTAGAATGATGTTGATCTGCATCAGAACAAGTGTCAGAGCACATAGACTAGTACACACACATGGACCAACATGAACCTACTGCACCACTGACCATTACACACATATAACACACATGGAATAGAAAAGGAAGTACTACGCTTAAATGTTCAAAATCAAATCTTATTGTCTATTGACTTATTATTGTGGTATTAGAATCAGTATTGAGTATCGAGTCTATTCTTTAATATTGAAATCTAAATATTTGCTCTCCATAACGGGTGAGAGACAGAGGTGTGATCAGTTGTGTTCAAACTGCAGAGCTGGGAGGCATGTTTCCACCAGCGCTGTGAAGCTTCTGTTATGAAAGAGGTAGACTACCACATGACTGGTCATATTGTGCTCCATCTCGCCTGCAGCCTGCTGCTCCCACACAGGACCACTGCTGATATTTCAAACTCCATTTGGATACTAAGGAAGAGACTCGATACTCAATACTCGATATGGATCCTGATACCACAGTGAAAACATTCATTTATTTACACAATAGAATGTGATTTTCAACACTTTAACACTGGAAAGCTCTTATTGTTGTTTATCATCTGTTAGCAGCACCTGTTTAAAACAAGTCTTTGTTCAATATTGGCCTCACCACAACACTGACCACCAGTCCCATAGGCAGTGATACAGACGCAGTAAAATATTGCAGTAATACGGACGCAGTAAGGTACTGCAGTACTACAGTGACTGAAATTGTCATTTAAACCACCAAAGCTCCAAANAGGAGGAGACACGCCCCTGTCTCCCCCAAACGAGGAGGACACATCTCGCCTCCCATTGGCTGCCCTCTCAGTTTCTCAGTTTTCCTCGTTGTATGATTGGCTGTCGGGCAAAAGCATCTGCGGCTCTTGGTGGCAGCTGTCCTCGAGTCTGTGTAGAGGCTTTTGCAGCGGAGGGGATCTGGATATCTGGATAAAACGGGTAAGAAATTTGACAACATACCGATGAATTACGATTTTTTTTCATATCTTACGAAATGCAGAGAGTTGAAATTGCGCTGATGTTTGATGATTTAAAGGTGCATTCAATAATCTTGCAGATTATTTCATTTTACACGTTTTGTTCCATTCATTCTCTGCTTGTGTCAAAATGTCACCAATTTGAACACAATGGCAAAGAGATAAAACGACTACACTCGCGTAATTATGTTATAATTTTCGCCATATTCGACATCTGACTGTTATTTATGAGGGACAACTACAATATGGCCAAATATGATTAAATAATATAATATCGACTGGGAGTATTGAAGGGACAGGTGAAAACTGGCATCTTTTTGCACTCGACGTCGAAAAGCTTATAGAGATTTGACTCCTTTTTGTGCACCATCTTTGCCATACACAGCAAGTGCAATTGTTGGGCATTGTGTAATTCTATTGTGGTGCTATTACTTCCTATAAGACCAGGTTAGGGCCAGTGATGCGATAAGTAATACATACAGTCGGGTTTTCTGTCCAGAACACGGTGCACCCACGTTGTAAATAACTGTCCATCATATTTCGCGATGCGGACTTTACGCACAGCTCCTGTTTGATGATTTAGACATATTAACATTTTTTTCTTCAGTGATTCGGCAGCTGTTTAGTGATTCATGATGGGGGTTAAAGGGTCTTTAATGCAGCACATCGATTTGAATACATTACATTCAGTTTGCCATGATTACGCATTCCCACGTCTGAGTAAAAACCTTGCCAAGACATTTTACTGATTTTTTAATTATACGTTGTCATCAAAATTAAAGAGACTAATTGTAAAAGATAACATATCATTAACCCCCTTCAGTTGCCACCGGTTGCATCACTTACATAATGAGATAGTTTTATCTGGTTGGACCTTCGCTGTCTGCCTGGCTACATGTGCACTGATGCTGCCACACCCCTCTCAGCATCACCGCATGTAATGTCCTATCTATTACACTGTGTACTTTTCCTGCAAAATGATCGATGTCCCTGAGCCTGTTTCTGCTTGGTCATGTACATGTTAACATAGGCATACTCAACAAGTGTCTGGAAGGTAATTAGTCTGTAATTGTCATTCACACAATGATTTTGGCGCAGGTGTGGTCATTTCCTCTGTAACATCGTACAAGATGAAATGTACAAAAGAAAAACAGACTCAGACAGACTTACTTTTAACTAGGGCTGTCACAATAACTCATTTTGTGTGCGCTATATTGCTGAAGTAAATATAGACTATTAACAATAATACTGAAACCAAACCATAAACCAGAATTATCCCCTAAAAGGTATTCTAAATAAGGTGTAACAATATCCAAGTGTCATGATACGATATCATCACAGTATGAACCTCATGGTACGATATTTATTGCGATATCATGGAAAAGCTCATAATATGGTGGGAGACTCACAATTAGGAATGTAACAATATCCAAATCTCTCGGTATGATATTTTCACGATATATATTTCATGGTATGATATTTATTGCTATATTTTGGTGGAGGCAAACAAAACTGTTAATATGCTACTTTTTCCTCTTAAAATGCCCTTGACAAGACTCAATCCAAAGAACTAAGCCTTAAAAGTTCTTAGAACTGTTCTTCTTGTAGTCTACACAGAAATGAAGAAAAGGATTATGGTCTATGTAGTTCCCTCTGTCTTTTTTCAAGCTATTGCTGTACCATAACTCTTAAGTTAAGCAAAGATGCTTGTAATTCGATATACTGTGATGGTCCATGATATTATTGTAAGAACTTTGACAATACGATATCACGATATTTTGGGTATTGTTACATCCCTAATTCTAAATGTACAATATTGTTAAAACATGAGCTGCAATAAATATATAACAGAATATAACGCTTAGGTAATTAGATATTATCTATAATGAGTCATAGAAGTTCACAATTCAACTTTCTGGTGCTCAAATCTCATTGTAGTATAGAAAAATAATCAAAAACTTTCCCAGTAGTACAAAATAATAAACCCAATAAATATTGACTGCAAAAATTATAATCCCACCTATCATGTATTGAATGATAAGTTTATAGTAATTATTGTGACAGGCCTACTTGTAGCTAACATGTTACAGAGCCAATTACAGAGTCCATGTTGTAGTTGGTCTTCCCTATAATCTTTACTGTTCTATTACTACTTAGCTCTGTTGTCTTCTCTATATCTTGCATCAGTGAACATCAGGATGCCATTAATAATTTATTTCATTCAACAGGCTTCTTCAATCTTTTTTATGTGCTAAATTAAGATGGACGATTCAGATAAGTTGTAAACAAGTCTCTGTAAATAAATAATCATGTTACCTACTTAGCAAACCATTCTTGCACACTATATTTAAGACCTTACTTTCATTATTACTACTGCTACTACTATCACTACTACTACCACTACTACTAAATACTGCTATAGATCTACTTCATCCATCAAAGACATCACAGCTTTTATTACTACTGCAATACTAGCTACACTTCTCCTCCTCTTCCCCTATTGTACCCAGACCCGTCGACAGAAATTTGGGGGCCCGGGGCTAGAAGCCTCTAACCTAATTCTGGGTCTTATTCTGGGTCCCTAAAATCCTGCAGACCCCTTTGTCCCCCTCATCTACTACCCTGATTGTACCACATGTACTATTTCTTCTACCATCACTGTTTCAAACTACTGTGGTCTGTGGTCAGTCCAGTCTTTACTTTACAGACAGTTCAAATTAATAAGGCTTGTAGGATTTCCATTGTGTCAGTTAGAAAATATTCAAAGGAAAAAACACTTAAGATGTTATTTAACTTAGTGTCAAGAAGTATACATGTAACATTTTCTTTTATGGCTTCAGTTGAGTTAGCCCAGATACAAAACAGATACAAATTAAGGCTACTAATACTAGTTTTGTAACTCTTTAGAACATGTATCAGTACTGGAAAATGTACCTTTTCTGAATAGTTTTTGATTTGTGTTGACCTGTATCAGAACTAGAGTAGAACCACACTAGAAACTGTAAATATTTTGTGCTGAATATATGAAATTCAACCATGCCAACACCCAAAGTGTCTCCTTATTGTAATAATCTATTCACTAATGGTCCAATCATCCGTGCTCCTCCAGTCTATCTCCTCATCGCTGTTTGTCTTTACACGACTCTCCATCACAGTTGGATGGTCAGAGCGTGTTGCTTTTGACATTTTAAACCCTCCCTTGTGAGCGTGACGGTACCTCCATGTGACTGTGTGTGTGTACGTGTGGTGTGTGTGTGTGTGTGTGTGCGTGGGCGTGTGGACCAGGGCAGGAGTCAGCAGCTGTCCGCTCAGCTCTGCATCAGCTCTCACATTTGACGGAGCACATGTTAGGCCCAAACACATCCCGGGATTTTCAGATTGTTTCTAAATGTGTCGCCTTGATCTAAAAATACATCGCACTTTTGTTCATGTCTGGCTGCAGGGTTTATTGTTTTGGTTGTTTCCAACATATGCTCCTGTTAATGTTGTTATTTAAGGTAAGGACATTAAAACAATATGACAACATTAACTCAACAATAACAATACACAGTTACATTGTATTTTAGTATTTAGCATTCCTGAAATGAGCTAAAATATGCTTGTCTTGATTGGGGTTCAAGAGTCACAAAATAAGTGAATGAATAAGGAGACTACACAGAATTTCCACCTTATACCCTTGTTTGAAAGATAAAGTCTATGCTCTTTTTCAAAACTCTTCACCTAGTCTTGCAGCTTTTTGACATAAAGTTACTATATACTTGATATTCTCAACAAATACCTTTCATTTATTCAATAACTATGTGTGTACTATGTAACTTTTTAGTGAGAGAGTCCACATCCAGCTCGATTCCATGGATACGTGATAAGTTTGCTGATATGATGTTAGTGTCTTACTTTATTTCCTTCCTAACTACAGCTTAAAAGTGCATTGTGTAACTTTTCTAGTGGAGGGTCTGTCAAATGCTTTTCTCTGTGGAGATGTTATTGCTTTGTCTGGAATGTTTCACAGTATGGCATTAAACCTTTCTATCATCGTGGAGACCAAACCAGACCAAGCTGCAGGTCAGATCTGTGGAGAGGCAATGCCACTCACAGTCAGAATGCCTGACTTTTTAGGTATTTTTGAGCTATAAAACCACTTGTAATTTAGTAATTGTTTGATAGAGCTGTGTAATGTCATACTGCCGAACATTCCAGGTAGAGCAGTGACATATCCATAGAAACAAGCAGGTGATGGATCCCCAACCAAAAAGTTACAAAGGCTAATGCATTTAAGTGTAGTACCCTTACAGTGACAGTGACTGTGTATGTGACGCTTCACTGAGAGGAATAGACTGACTGTGCACTGTTAGATCTGTGGTCCTGAAAGTGCTGATGTAGAGAGCTGCAGTAACAGACACTATTCTTACTATGGCTAAGGGCATTGTGCTGTGACCCCCTGCCGCTGCTGCTGATTCTCATTCATTATTCATAGACCTGACTAAACACTGTGGACTCGGTGTGTCCATGGCACATGTTCATATGAGATCATTTCAAATAACACTGGACTGATGTATACCAAGTGTTCAGAGGCAGCTGGTCCGTGTGTGTCGGTGACACAGCAGAATCAGGACACACTTTATTGACGTGTCAAGAATAGATATACATTTTTTACTTTGTGTCTTTGGAGTTTTTTTAATCTTCAGGGAATATTTTAGGCAGTCGAGAGTTTTAGTTTTTGGCGAAAATCAGACATCTGGGCTGTGTAAATCATGAGCACCAAGACACATATGATCCGTGGGTCAGTTGGGCATTTTTTTGCCTTCTTCTTTCCAAAGTTTGCTGGTTGGCATCCGTTCCTGGCACTAGCAAAGTTGGTACATCTATCGAACTACAGATTGGTGGTTCAATCCCAGCTTCCACAGGTGCATATTGATGTTGTGTTGTTGGGCAAGACACTAATCCACTTCTACCTTACTGGTGTGTGACTATTGTTCCAGCTTTCATATTGAAGTCAATATAGTAATTATTATGACAGGCCTAAATGTGTCCATGTAATCATTTATTTTACAATTTTCCTGAAATGGTCTGGGAATAGGGACCTTCTTGCTTTGAGGTAATAGTGGTGGTGATAAATAAACTATTGTTGGTAAGTACTAGTAAGGTAACAGTGGTACTATATGGCATTAATTTATAATAACAAAGTGGACACCTTCGAGCTGATCTTTAAAGACAGTCTTCACTCTTGTCTTGTCACTCACACCACATCAACACATCTGTCACATGTTCACAGGCTGCTTCTCATCCTCTCAGACAGAAACAAGCTTCAGTGTTGTCACTTCAAACTGCTGTCTCTCTGAAACCACATCCATTCTGCTGTCAATATTTTCACCACATTGTCACTGATTAAATATTCTTATCACAACACCACTTTGGCACTAAAGGAATATGTCAGTCATACAGGTCCTTGGTTGGAAAGTAACTGATTACAAATACTCATTCACTCAAATCATTTTAAGTCAGTAACTGCACTTCATTACATTTTCTCTCCTAGACATTACTGAGTTCCAAGTCCCAGTTGTCCTAATCCACAGTTGTCTCATCACTGTCCGTGCTTGTTTCTATGCCTACAAACATTTGACTGCATTCTGATTGGCCAGCTTTGAGAATATGTGGATTGCAATTTAAAATCAAGTTTTGTATTTTACTTTATCTACTATACTTTACTTTATACTTACTAAGTGCACATTTAGCAGCAGCACTTGTATATTATTTACTCCATAACTTTTACTAAAATTAACATTTCAGTATGTGTATTTGTTCCATCAATGTAAAAATCTTGCATGAATATTCAAAAGGTAATTATTTTCAATGATTACTAATAAATAATGCTGTGTCCATTTGCCTGTTGAGTCAGCATTCCTGTTCCCACTCTCTCTCACTGGTCAGCTGTGTGGGTTTGGACCTTGCAGAGTAAATGGAAACTAAGATCAGCTTAAGCTTAAATCTTTAATTATAAGTTAGTGCAGACCTCTGTTTGGTGGTTTCTCATAGTCATTTATTTCCATGCTATTGCAGCTACAATTGATCCAGACAGTTCATTAAAAAGTAGTTATTAAATATGCTTTCTTGTCATTGGTTGTGCATCTCTATCCTTATTTCTGCTCAAGTTCAGTTTGCCATCTGGGTATGTGCAGTCTCCTCTGTGTGTTAAGTATAGGCTGCCCCGCTCATCTCCACGGTAACAGCTCTTTTATCCCACTCTGTATAAAGCCTGTGGGGCTGCTTTCTGCATTGACCCCCTCCTCCCTGCTTACCATACAGCTTCATCGCACACTCAATATACGATGACCTGAATTTACTTACACCTCTATCATTGGTACATGTTTTTGGTTTAATAGATTTTTAATAGTTACAGTTTTAGTAAAAATTATTTACTAGTAGTGTGTCACACTTATTTAATTTCAAACTCAATTTTGATATCAATACCAGTTTTGATACTAGTTTTGATTAATAGTTGGGTATTGATACTTATCACAACCCCAATACTGCTGCTACTGCTGCTAGAACTTGTAATCCTGCCACCACTACTACTGCTACTGCTACTACTACTACTGTTAATACTACATTATTACCATTATTTAATATTTTACTTATTAATTAGCATACTCTGCTATAATGTCTGTTATATGATATCAATGAACGTAAAACAAGTGAGTTATTGATAAACCAGCTACAACATAAATACTGCTTAAATTCTGATGGCACAACGAGTACATACCGTATTATTATACTGTTTCTGGTGTATAATGATAATTTATTTAGCTTTTTTTTTCTTTCTTTTTTTTTTTTTTTTTAACATTTTGCTATCTATAACAACAACACTTGCATAACACTCCTCCCTTTCATCCCTCCTTCTCTCCACTCTCTCTCTGTCTCTCTCTTCTCTCTATTCTCCTCCATCCTTCTGTCTGTTTTGTTTGACTGAGGTCCATTGTGTCCTGGACCACATTGCACACAGCCATCCATCCATGCAGAATACAAACTGCAGAGCAACTTTAAAGAACACTAAAGCTAGCTAGCCAGCTGATGTAAAGGTGCACTATTTCACTTTTCTGTTGGAGGGTCCAACACCTACGTGTCTCAATGCAAATATAATGGCTTTGCATGGCATTATACTGTTCTCTATTGTATTTCTTGAGATCCAGGCATTTTAATTTCTAAAGAAAGTTTGAAACATGCATTTCATTCTTTCTCCACATCTCACTTGGTCTAGTAGCTTAACTTCAGTGCAGTTCCATCTAACAATGATCTTCTGACAAACTACACATACTTCTTCTGACTATTGTTTCGACTTTTGCTCTTTCTCAGTCTCTTCTCTCTGAGTCACATTTCAGATCATGCAGAATGTAAATTATAAATCCTCTGCTTGGTCCTTTGAATATTTTATGGAGTAAGATAAAACTCTGAAAGCTCAGAGCCCGGAAAGGTGAAGTCTCTCGGGAAAAAAGTGTCATGAACTGTAATACATGAATCAGCATTGAATTAAAAGCTGAGACGATCGTGACTTTGCATAAGACAGTGTGATTAGGGAAGTGAAGGAAGACAGAACAAAGACTGTATTTATGTGTGGGGTATTAGAGTAGCTGTGAACAATCTCTAGACACTTTTTCAAAGGTGTCCCAGTGTTGTTCAGTTTGCTTTCATCAAGTGACTGACTTAAGCTGTTTGTTAGACACTGCAGCATCAGGAAGCAGATCTATGAGGCAGATTTCAACACTGACTTTAAATGTTGGATGTGCAAATAGTAGATTCTTTCAATAAATCTCATATTCACAGACATTGTATACATGTGTTTAGTCCTGTTTTAATCCTGTTAATCTGATCAGGTCCAGGTATAGTATAAGTCCAGATATCCAGCTCCTGGTTTAGTCCTATTTTTTATTTTATTTTTTTGCAGGACAATGTCGGCCAACGCAGGGTCCATGCGAATTCTCATCAAAGGAGGAAAGGTGGTCAATGATGACTTCACCCATGAGGCAGATGTCTACATCGAGAATGGAATCATCCAGCAGGTACAAGAACTAGTTTAACTCAGTTTTATAAACTTGTTTGGTGATTTATGAAACATTTTATATTCTTATAATAATAATAATATGTCTATGTCGTCTTGAAAGTTGAAACTGCATATTATAATTTTTTTTGCATATTACAACCCTTCCATCCAAATGTGTGTTGTGTCCCTGATCAGGTTGGTAAGGAGCTGATGATCCCTGGAGGGGCTAAAGTCATTGATGCCACTGGGAAGCTGGTGCTTCCTGGAGGCATAGACACCAGTGTTCACTTGGAGCAGACCTTTATGAACGCCACCATCCAGGAGGACTTCTACAGTGGCACCAAGGTACTTGCACTGAGTTTAACCACTACTCCAGAGCAGCTTGTATGATTCTCTGACCAATACATTTTAGCAACAATATTTCTTTTCCATTACTTGTGCAAATTTATATGAAATACATCTATTTTAATAATCAAAACAGTGATTATGAATGAATATGAATATGTAACAAGATAACAAAAAATACTCTTGGTGATATATTGATATGGCAGTCCACGATAATGATACTGTACTCTCAATATATGTACAAAAAGACACTGATTATTCTCACATTCATGGGGTTCAGCTACCTGTCTATAGTTGCAATTTTCATATGACAGCTGTGTTCACTTGACAGCTGTGCTCACAATAGCAGATTAGTGCACTTGTTACGTAATTAGATAATTGCCTACAGTATTTGTGGAAGTATGAGCACTGACAGGTGTGCTTGGAGAGTTTAAAGGACAGTAATGACCACATGTGTATAGTGCTGTAGGAAGTCCCGAAACAGCTGTCACCAAACAGAGCAAAGACACGCCCTTCTCCCACAACTGTTCCTGCTTTTCCTGTGAATACCCTGCATGTTTTCTGCTGTCCCCAGAGACTGAGCCTGATGGAAGATTTACTAATTAAAAGATTTAAAATTTTAATGAACGAAGTCATTGTCCCATCGGCAGAATGTAACCCTATGAGGATATAGCTTTCTCTTTTTCTATGGGTGTAAGTTACAAGACAAGAGAAAGCATTTGTTGGAGATAAGTCTGGATTAACATAAAAATTTAAATGAAATGCCTCAATCCATGACTAATGCCTTAATAACTCCACAAGCTTTTAAGTTTCTCATTACATTCCATTATCCATTCACATTTGAAAAAAAAAAATTCACCTGTCTTATTCAACCACTTTCTATTAATCAACGCCTTTGGAATAGTACTGATATATTTTACAGTGGCTTATCCATTTCTGGGTTTCAAATGACATAATACAATTTTTTAGGCCTATAATATTTAATACAGATGGGGGCCAGTTTAAGCTAATGTAGTTAGAATGCAGATTTTTGTTGAGTTTTGGGGTCTAATCATTAATAAAAATGATAAGGTTTCACATTTATGAATTTATATTTTGGATATTTAAAGGCAAAGCACAATGTTATCAATAGAAATACTGTCTCTTGCCCCCCATCATCACATTTTAGGATCTAAAAACTACTAATAGGTTTCAGATTTGTGAATTATTAGGACCGTTGTCATAATGATGAACCATTTAAGGCAAAAGTTGTATCGTTTTAATGAGGACAAGCTCTCAAAATGTATAACATCAGGATTGTATTTATATTTATTCAAGTACAAAATTAAAACATAGCCTACCGTATATTTTTTCAGTTCTATTTCTGTATATTTTTCTTTATTTATTTAAGAAAAAGAGATTATTTTGAGTTTGTTCCTGAAGTGAATTTCCTGGAGAATCTGTTGTCAGTGTGATGGCAGAGCTTTAGCTGCAGCAGGGGCTTTAGAGACAGGCTCTAGTCCAGAGGAATGCCAGCTGAAGTGGGTTGATTTGTGTGTGTGTCTGTGGGGAGGGGGGGTCATATGCCAGTCCACCCCTGCTCCCTGTCATCCCAACTCAGAGCAACCATCACCCCCCACAAAATCAGAAAGACCCCGCAGCCATGGCAACCGGTCCAGTGTAGCAGCAAGATCTCCCACAGAAATTTAGCATTCCTCTCCAATCATAAATACACAGCTCAAGCAGCCCCATTGAAAAGTGTGCAGACATAGGCATTCAGAATAGCCAGTTTATGTGGTAATCAGGCACAACTTTAGAGCGCGTGTGGAATTGTGTCGTCTCTATGGTTACAGTGTTACCACGGAAACATCAGAACCCCCCAACTATTTCCCTCTGTCTGCATCCTCCGGCACGGCTCATTATTCTAAACCTGGCGGCTCCCTGCCACACACTCGTTTTATGAATTGGCCAGTGAGTGTGTTAAGAAAACTGGAAATGAAAAGTGTTTTGCTTTGGAACTTGAGCTGTTTTGATATTCTCAGTAAAAGACATGATGTTATAAACAGAATGAAATACTCACAAAATAATTTAGTAGAGCCTCTAATTCCTCTACCTGATCTCCCCAATATTGTGTAGTGACAAGTAAATATATTTCTTAGTATTATGGACTCTTTTGTAATGGTTTAGAAATGGTGCTAATACCAAGTTGTTAAATGGGATACACTTCCTTCACTTTTAATACACATACAGATCAGATCATGTGGAAATGTGTCCTTCTACATACTACTGTATTAGGCCTCTACTGTTGGGTACTATATTTATCTGTATGAACATATGAAGATTGCTCTAGTTATGACAACCATTTTTCCTGCACTTGTTCTAAATATTGTGGCCTCCTTCTGTCTCTCTCACTTTGATCCCCTTTCCTCTGGATTATGTTCACAGCAGGAGACTGGGCTCTTTAACAGAGTAACCCAGTGTTTGGTCTTTATGTGTACAGCAACATTTGCTGCAGTGCTTAGAGATAATGAAAGGACTGAATTTATGCAGCCTGACTACAGACATTACACTTCTAAAAACTGATTTGGTAAAGCTATTCCATTTTGGTTAGCCAACTGATTTTGGCTACATATTCATTTGATACAGATTTTACATAATGTGCCATTCCTAGTAAACCCCTCTGTGTTATCAAGGCTTTTGACAGTGACAGAATTTGCCCTTTTTTCATCATTTTTTAATCATATTCTAACAGTCTGTTACTAGGACATTTTTCTGCATTAGGAAACAATTCTTCACATTTGGCTACAATGTCCAGTCTAAAACTACAAATTCATTAAACTGTTCTAATAAATGTAAAAGTAACTAAAGATTTATTTTCAGGGCATTTCCAAGTAGACTACTCCATTACCATTTCACACCACAGTCACTAAATCTTAATTAAGGTCATGCTCTGACACAGTAAATCCCACAGTCCCTTGCTGCGATCCCAGTGTCCTCTGTCATCTCTGAGTCTGTCACACTGTCTCACACACCCCCACACTGACGAGACTGCATACTGTCTGTCTACATGCACAACATATGAAGCCATTTGCAAGCCTGACTTTGCAGATGATGCGGTCCCCATGGCAACGTGGTATGTTCTTAGGTGATTGATTGACAACCTTTTATCATCGTCCATCACAACATATGTCTACTCCTATTTTAAAAAGATGTTTTCATATCCTGTGTCACTCTTTATATTTTCTCGAGAACTTGTTATCTCAGCTTGATCTGTGTTAAATACAGTAGATAAAGCTGAAGGGTGGGGACATGTACTAGGCAGTGACAGAGCAGATTCTGTTGTCATGGCGACGCAAAGGTGCATTTTTCATTCATTCGACAGAAATTAGAAAATAGGCCGACCGTTCCTATTACTACACCACCCTTGTTTTCTCATCTTATGTATCCTAACAATTTTAATATTTGTAGTTAAAAGTATACAGTGAAGCAATCCAAATACAAGTGATGAACTACTGTATTTTGGTGTATGCTGAAACATTGATATACTACAGAGGACTACATTAGCGCTAGGTTATGGCTCATATTGATCTATCTTTTTTTTTTTTTTTTTTAAAGCAAAATAAAATAGCTTTCATGTCATTTCATTTCATTATTGAGTTCCTGAAAAATGAAGATCTTGATCACTGCTGTTTATCATAAAATACCCTTTTTTTTTCTCTGAAGTTTTAACTTTTAAAAGAGAGATGATTGGCTGTAGACATATAATTAAAAACAAAACAAAACAAAACAAAAAAACTATAAAATGTGACGCATTTCTCAACATATCTCTAGCCTACATGTTTGATTTCTATGCCATGAAGATTCACACTAGTTCATTTTAGACAAACAGTGGCACTTCATAAGGCTTTTTTGTCAGGGACTCGCACACAGCACTGTTATTGTCTCCTTCCTAATTATTTTCCCCTCTCTGTGCTCCATTGTCTTACCCCTAAATTTCCATCTCCTGTTCCTCTCCCCCAGGCAGCTCTGATGGGCGGCACCACTATGGTCATGGCTTTGGTGCTGCCCGAACAGCACTGCTCTCTGGTGGATGCTTTTGAGAAGTGCAAGGAGCTGGCTGATGCAAAGACTTGCTGTGACTACAGTCTGCATGTTGGGGTGACGTGGTGGGGACCCAAGGTAAAACTGAGAAACTGGAACTTAAATACAACCATTAAACACTTTACCTTGTAATCACACTTTTTTAAAATAAAGCTTGCAGACACATTTCAAAATATAGGTGAAATGTGAAGTGACCTAGATTAAACCTTTGTAGATCTGGGTTAACACACATGCTCAGTGGGCACATTATGCAGACGATATGATTCATTCAGCCTTTGGCTCAAAAGTCTGCTCCGCATCACCGGCTGGCTACTACTATGTGCCATATCCGATTATAGTAGGGGGAAACAGTGTAGTAGCATGCCGTCTGAAGGGATCTGTTTCAGTGTATTCACTTCAATATGAAATTAATATGATAAAAAAAAATTCTGACTGCCTTCTAATAAAGAGAAATTAACAAAACGTACACTTAGTACAGTGATGCATAATTTGAATAATTACATTTACAAATTATTATGATATATGTCTTCTTTTTTGTTTGGTAGTATTGTATCTTCCAAGCATGGACAGATGCTGTTTCTGAGCTAAAAGAAGGTGAATGAGCTTTGACCTCATTTCAGTGTTGCCTTCAGCTTTAACACCTTTTCACTACACTACACACTGTCTACACTACTTGATTATGGCAAATTATTGTTGGCATGTGTTATGATTTTTTTTCTTAAAACCCTCAACTTGTTACAATATTGAACATTTGTACTTTTTCGCATAATTATTATTGATTACATATAATAATGATAATAAACACTTAATTTTGACTGATACAGGCACACAGAATAATATAATAATTCAGATAGCATCGCGAATCTCATCTTACCTATCTCTTGTTAGGTTCGTAACGAGATGGAGGCCCTGGCACGGGAGCATGGGGTGAACTCCTTTCAGATGTACATGGCATACAAAGACATGATGATGCTGAGGGACTCTGAGCTTTACCAGACTCTGCAGACCTGTAAGGACATCGGGGCCATCGCTCGTGTCCACGCCGAAAACGGAGAGCTGGTGGCAGAGGTACGTCACTAATAACTAATTGGCTTTGTGCATTAAATTAAACACTTTTAATCATTTTCATAATATGTATGTTAGGGTGCCAAGGAAGCTCTGGAGTTGGGCATCACTGGACCAGAGGGGATTGAGATCAGTCGTCCAGAGGAGGTAATGATGTAGATAAAAGTATAAAAGGGTCAAATCAATTCTTACAGTTTACTTTTCTTACAGTTGGAGTCAGAAGCCACCCATAGAGCTATCACCATTGCAAATCGGGTATGTCATTACAACAGTATTTTATGATTCTGTTTGAGATACGCTAATCAACATAGTACATTGTTGTCCAGGCTCGCTGCCCAATCTACCTGATAAATGTGTCAAGTACATCTGCTGGAGACATGATTGCTGCTGCTAAGATGCAAGGTAATATATCTCTTCAGTCTGTAAGTATTGTGGATGTTGGCATATGTGGTGACTGTGTCTTGTATTTGTGATTTCAGGTAAAGTGGTCCATGCAGAGACCACAGTAGCTCATGCAGTACTTAGCGGGATGCAGTACTACCACCAAGACTGGGCCCACTCTGCAGCCCATGTCCTGGTACCTCCTCTCCGCATCGAACCCAACACACCCGGCTACCTCATGGGCCTGCTGGGAAAGTATGTACTCAAATGCCCCAAATCTGCAGGTGTAATTTTATTTTGACATTTCCTTTTTTTTTTTTTTTACAGTGATACCCTGAGTGTTGTGGCTTCAGAACATCGTCCATTTAATGTAAAGCAGAGGGCTCTTGGAAAAGAAGACTTCACTAAGATCCCTCATGGAGTAACTGGAGTCCAGGACAGAATGAGTGTCATCTGGGAGAGGGGAGTGGTAAGTAAACATGCGTTTATAGTAGCATTTATATTATATAGATAGTATTTAATGTGGAAATTATCATCTAGGTAACAGGAAAAATGGATGAAAACCGCTTTGTGGCTGTTACAAGCGCCAATGCTGCCAAAATTTACAACTTGTACCCACGTAAAGGGCGCATTATCCCTGGCGCTGATGCTGATGTGGTTGTTTGGGATCCAGATGCAACAAGGTGAGAAATTATTACCATAAAGTCTGCAACATCAAAATATATTATTATGTTTACTTTTAATAACTTTGTGTCTTCACAGGACTATCTCTGTGAGCTCCCAAGTGCAGGGTGGAGACTTTAACCTTTACGAGGGTCAGAGGTGCCATGGTGTGCCTCTGGTCACCATCAGTAGGGGGCGTTTGGTTTGTGAGAATGGTGTATTCATGTGCGCTGAAGGATCTGGGAAATACTATCCTCAGCGTATTTTCCCTGACTACCTCTACAAGAAGATGGTGCAGAGAGAAAAGGTTAATCAAATCATGTCTTTTTACTTGTGTTTTGTTTGCTTTACTAAATAAAATCCTGTAGAGGGAAACTGTCGCAATTTGCAAAATAAGACTGTATTGCACATATGACACCAGTATCTAATAGCCTAATAATACCTAATAGAATAATAATATAAATATATGATATGCAAACTGTTACTAATACAATGTTGAGAGCACTGTTCGAATGACCTTTGCCCCTAATTTGGCAGACAAAAAAACCCTAATATTGGCTCGCTTTCACTTAGAGCTTAGAAGCTCATTTCCTTGTTGCTACCAAACCCTCCTCCGCCTCCTGCTACATTTCCCTTTCAACACTAATTAGTACATTGTGTTGTACCACTCTCTCTATTTTTACTTTGTCAACTGCACCACTTAAGATTCCTGTTTAAGGCTTCGAAAAACCATTTAGGAGTTTAGTTGTTACATTTAAGATCTAGTTTTGAATAGCCTATAATTGTTTTTAAAGTTTGCTTGTAGTTTTTCAGTTAAAGCGACCACCTGTTCCTCTTTTGGTTGTGCTATCATTTAGGCTCTTGTCCCTCATCCCACTTTTTTTATTGGTGACAAAGAATTGGTGTATTGGCTTTCAGAGTTTTAATATGTTGGCACCTATTGCTGTCCAGCCAGTGATGACACTGAAAATCATATGGTATTATTGTATCCATTAGTATTATCTATGTGCTTAAATTTAGTCCATCCCTCCATGTCCCATCACATTCAACAACATATCCCTCTGTTACTACAGTTTGAGGTGGTGACCCTGTCTTCAGTACATAAACTGTGGTTTTTCATACATGTACTCAATCTTCTTACTCTGATGCCTTCATTTTTGCAGACTCAGGTCTATAAAGGAGTGGAAAGGGATCCATACTCCGGTGACGTTGCTAAAATTACAGTCACGATGAAAAAGGAACTTGGTCTGGGCCCTATTGACGGTGAAACTCCCAAAGGTGCACGAGCGCATCAGGGTGTCCGAGATCTCCATGAGTCCTCCTTTAGTCTCTCAGGTAGGATTTCATGTTTTCAATATTTTGATTAAACATTGCATTATGACCAGTGGCAGAAAAGAGAGTAAACAACTCAGAATATGTTCATATTATGATACCTATGTCTGCAAGTGGTTACAAAAAAGTTAATGGTTTTGAGTATGTGGAAAAATTTTGTCTATCGTGTATATTTTTGTTTTTTATATCACTCAGGATCTCAAGTTGATGACCATATCCCCAAGAGATCCTCTGCTCGGATCCTGGCCCCTCCTGGTGGTCGCTCCAGTGGCATTTGGTAATACATCGTGGAAATCTGCAACTCCGAGCCTCGTTTTCTTTATTTTTATTTTTGAACAACCAGGAAAACTGCACTGATTTACACAAGAATAGAGCTATGGGAATAATATATTACATGCAAGATTAACGATGTAATTGGACTATTCAAAGTTTACATACCTTAACTTAACGTCTTAACTAAAATGACTAGTTTTGGAGCTTTGCTAAAGTCATCATATCAGGAAATTAAGTATAGATTAATATTTAAGAAACCAGTACAGTTTTTAGTGGTTTAAAATCAAATGTTGACTGGATTATTTAAGTGAGTAATAACCCTGGAACCACTGATCTATCTTTTAGTCTTTCACGTATAAATCATACAGAACACAGTAGGCATAACAGCTGTAGACTTGTATGAAGATTTTGTGAATTATGTTTGTGACTAAACCTCCCACTGTGCTTGGCTTCCCGCTGCACTATGGGCCGGTCTGACAGTGTTTTTATTTCCATCGAATGATCTCTGCCGTGTGGTGATGAAATCCAACTGCTTCAAAGACACATTTGTGCTCTTTTTAAGTTAGACTTGACCCCTGCAAGGCTTACACATTCGCTGCTTGACAATGAAGACATTTATATCATGCTGCATAGGCTTTTTGAAAGCATCTTGACCTCCCCGATGTTGAAGCAAAGATGGAAACTGGTACAGTTGTAACAAATTCTGTCTTGTGGACTGCATGTTGCTCGGCTCTATTCAGACTCTGTGTAAAACAGGAAAGGTCATGAGGACAACTTGTTTGTACTACTACATATTATATCCAAAAAAATATAACTTGGTGGACATAGTGCCTTCTTATTCAGAATATTATGGAAGGTGCTAAAGTTAAAAGCTTGTGTGTATTCATTTGGATGCTGCTAACATGTTTAACATATCATTATGCACAGGTTAGTAGTTAAGGGTCTGACAATAGAAATATATTAAATAAAAATATTTTGATTGATATTGTCTGTAGCAATAGATTGTGGACTACTGGAATATGTATTATCATGTATTTAGTCATAAATATGTGCAATATGCAGCACCTACAGTAGCACCAAATGGATTTATAAAAACAACTCTTCTATTCGGAAAATAATAAGGGATTTACTGATCAAGTCTCCACAGGCAGGAAGATTGAGCTGCACAGGCGAAGACTGCTTCTCTCACCTCCTGATACTGTCCTTTTTACCTAACAGTATTACATTTATGCGTGATCACATCATTTGTCTGTGTATATTTAGGATCTCTGTATTTTAGTTAAAAGAACGTGCCAACATGACTCACCTGTGCCACATTAACGCTGTGCATGAGAAGCACCACATACCGTCAAGAAGCGTCATCTCTCTGATCAAAAATGGTGCTGTTTTTTACTATAAACCTGACATTATTTTATTGTGGATGAATTTGTTGTTTTGAAGGCATTAACTTCTCAGTGGCTGTGTGTTTGTAGATTCTTGTGGTGGACAGTAAAACTGTTGACTCTGTATGTGGCTGCTTGTTTCTTACCACAATTAAACTGTATCAAACCTATAACCTATAATAGTGTTTTTGCTATAAACATACAATTAATTTACTAATACAATAGCTTTAATTTGAGAATGATTACACATTTCAAATAGTTTTATCAAGTTCATATTATTTATAATGGCAAAAAATATTTGAGTCAGAATAATTATTAAAATACACTTAAAGAGTATACAATAATCCAAATAGAAATCATATTTGGCCACGATGAGCCACCAATAAGAGAGATATGCTCCATTATCAAGCCATAGACTATGCTGCTTTATAATTAAATTCATATAAAACAAAGAAGCGTGGCCACAAGCCAAATAAGCCTTAAACAAATAAATTAAGTTCAACAAAATGGTCAAAAACAATACACAAAAACATAAAAAGCTGTAAAATAAACTATAAATAACAACTTTTGGTTGTAAATTTAACGTTAATGGCCAAACATGGCTCGCCATCAGAACCGGACATTTTCCCCAACATGGCTGTTTGTGGGTTGTCAGTTGCTCAGAAAGTCAAGCAAAACCATGAAACTGCGTTGCGCATGCGCAGTAGGGGCGGCTTAGGTGGGAGCTGTGTGGCGCAACTTGCTGAGGTAAGAGTCGGGTTATAGCAACAGAAAAGCCATCATCTGAACAACGGGACCGCCGTGTGAGGAAGACTGTGGTCAGACTCCAGTGAGTACTATCAAATCTGCGTCACTTAAAATGTCTTCTTTTACTGTTTATATATTGTTTTATGTTCATAGTGTAATTTTATGTCTGAAAGAAATACTTAAATAGCACCCCGGCGAGGGCAGACAGCGCTGTCATTCTTTCTCCTGTGCCTGTGTTTTAACAGAAAGGCCTGCAGAGGGGGTAACTCCAGCTTATACTATTATTTCACCTGATACTACGCTCTATTGTTATTTGCTTGGAATATGTAGATAACAGTTGAATGTGTATACACAATTTCAGAGCACGCACATGAAGCATATCTATAGAAAAATCCATGAGGCAGCGTTAGCAATTAGCCAGCAGCTAGCGATACAATAGTGAATCCACGGAGCGACCGTAACAGAGTGGCACTGGGCTGAGGGGAAATCACTGTGGGCCCAGAGCAAGGTACACACTGCACAGGATCGCAGCAGCACAACACACTTTTACTCTTACTTTGGACCGCTATAGTGTCATTATTCTGGATCTAGTGACCACCGATCAGAACATTGTGGTATTTCTGTTGTATATTATTGCTGAAATTTTCATTCTCATAATTTTCGAGTTTCTGCTTGTTTTATTTTAGAAATCCCCAAAATGCTGTAAAATATGTTTTTGTTTACATTTTTTAAGCTGCAAGATATTAATTTAGTTCAGGGGCATTGCATTTTATTAATATTTGTAATGTGCCTAAAGAAACAATAGGGTTAGATCTGCTTTAACAAGACAATTTCTCAACTTACACACGGTCAAGAGATCAAGAACAGTTTTGGTTCATAGCAAAACATAATTTGCCAAAACCCTTAAAAAGCACAATAAGACTAATGCTTTTTATAACTGAGCTCAGTCATGTGTGATACTCGCCCTAGAGTTAGAAAAGGGGTGTGTCTCTACAGTCATCATTACTACTGCCTTTTAAGTGATTAATACTGTGAAAACATTAATCATCATCGTCATCATCATCATCAAAGCACATCAGTTATTACTTAAGAGAGTAATTATATAGCAATATTCAATAATGTGAACCAATAATACATTAATACAAAATAACATTATTTTTATTAAATGCAATTTTAAAATGAATGCACAATGCATACAGGTCTGAAAATATAATTGATTAACAATAAGTTTGAATTGGGTTCAGTTTATTTTGGTTTATAAAATATAAAAAAAATATATAAATAAATGCATTTAGTCATTGTTTATTAAAGGTACAGTATATAACTGTCTGGATGTAGCAAGTCTTACATGATTTCATGGAACTAGAAAGCTAGCTCAAATGTTAGCCATAATGTGGGAGGGTAAAGCCAAAGGAACATTTTTATGTTGAGCATGTTTTATATGTTTTCGGTGAAAAGAAAAAAAGTGAAAAGAAACAACAAACAGATTTTAGTCTCCTATGGTTAAAAGGTTGCATAGTGTGACTTTAAATGGTTACCATTAATACTATATAAAATAGACTCTCTGGAGACAGGAAGTGATAGCTGCGCATGACATCCTGTCACTGTTTATGTTGGAGACTCTTTTCTCAGGAAATACTCTAGACTTGGACTTTAAACCATTGGTGTCATTGTGATGAATGGTAGCTGTGATTTCTGCTTTATTGGATACTGTTTGGGGGACTTTGGCTGCTGACATGAGCTGTGATGACTTACAGCGTGTTGAAGCTGGAAGAGGATTATCGGAGGCAGATTATTGAGCCAGTGAACTACTGTCCGACTGGGCTTCATCTGTGGGGCCACTTTCAGGAGAGCATTTCTTTCACTTAATAATCATGAGATATTCAAATTATAGCCCTTTATGTTTTTGCTTTGAGACAGACGTAAAAAGAGTTATTGCACATATTATTGCACATGTTTTCATTAGTAAAGATTCAAAATGTTCTTCAGTAGATGTAATTCATGTATTTCCTTTGCCATAGGTTTCTTGAAAGTGGCTCAGAACAAACCTGATCATAAAGTTTTCTCTTACTTTAACCAAGTGCAGGTGAGTGTGATATTGTGTATTTCCTATGTACACAATACCTACAGACCTATAATATTTAAGAGGTAATTATGTCCAAGGGCCTTTTCACTAATATGGAATAGATTCAACTTTTAGACTTTCTGTAAGGAAAATTGTCTTATGACCCCCCTTATGCAGATGGCATCATTCTAAAATCTGAAAACTACTACTTATGATAGGGTTGCATCCATGAAACAGAATGGTTAATGGAGTGTTAATAATTAATGTATGGCCAACCCTTTGAATGTGATATTTTCCATGTGTAGAATTGAAAATCTACAAGCATTACCTTTTTATTTGCTGTTTTTAAATTTGTTTTTGTGTGTCTGAAAGCTCGAGGATGGCGGTGAATGTTTACTCCACATCTATGAACGTAGACAACCTGAGTCGCCATGACATGTTGGCCTGGGTAAACGACTCACTACAGCTCACATACACCAAGATCGAGCAGCTATGTTCCGGTGAGGCTCCCTGTCCAGCTCTAGGTGTTATCAATCATTATTCATAAAGTACATTTATTCTGTAATCGTGGTATCCAACAGGTGCCGCCTATTGCCAGTTTATGGACATGCTTTTTCCTGGGTGCATACTGTTGAAGAAAGTTAAGTTTAACTCTAAACTGGAACATGAATATATCCATAACTTCAAGGTTTTACAGGCTGCCTTCAAAAGAATGAACGTTGACAAGGTGAGGGTTTTTAAATTGTTAAATAGTAGAATAGTAGTTTTAGGTGCTTGTAGTTGGTATCTTTTCTAATTAAGCTTGCACGCCAAAAATAAACCTGCCAATTCATACTTACATTGACATCATGCTTCATCGGTTGCCATGGTGACACAATACACATAGCTAACAGAGCTAAAAAAAGTTTTTAGATCATCTGAAAAATACAAAATGGCTCTAAACAACACATTTTCAGCCTGTGATCAATACAAGCATTCACAGCCCCGTTTAGGTGTTTGATTTTCAATAGAAAGGTGAGAGTGACTAAGTGAAAAACTGTGAGGAACTGAGAGACTTGTTTAAGTGCACAAATGAGCTCACTTGCCGTAGTTCCAGCTAAATCAGCTCTTTCTGATCAGATTGTGTTGAAATAAAGATCAGATTAAAGTCTAACAAAGCCTCAGACGGAGCAGAGCCTACAGTTAGCATCACACCCCCAGGGCATGTTGATGACATCAGCTGCAAAGTATTAAATGTTGTGCCTTTGTTTGTTGATTATTAACCGTGTTGTGTTTTATGTCTTTCAGATCATTCCTGTGGAGAGACTGGTAAAAGGAAAATTTCAAGACAACTTTGAGTTTCTTCAATGGTTTAAGAGATTTTTCGATGCAAACTACGATGGGAAAGAGTACGACCCTGTTCTATCTCGTCAGGGCTTGGAGGCATCGCCGCTGCCCAACCCAGGTAAGCACTGTCTCTACAACGGGATTAACTTAAGTCAGAGAGCTCCGCATACTAGTCCCTAAAATAAAGTAGTTTTTGTAGTGATGGACAGTCGGGGCATGTCTTTGTGTTGCTCATGTTCATGCCCCGTCCCACTCTAACCAGGTGTCACTCATCACAAACCCAAAAGACCATCTCGTCCAGGTAACACTGTCAGCAGCATGTCTGTGTGCTGTGAGCATCATCATATGGATGGCATATGATAGATTTTTTTTGTGACATAACACATAATACTTAATATAATAATACTACATACATAATACATAATACTTATAAGACATTTTACAGCTGAAGTACCTGTGTTGATGTGTTACAAAACGTTGTATCCTCGTCTAATTTAATGAGACATTTTGAGTATTTTCTCAAGCAGCTACAATGTTTAGTTTTAAATATACTTTGAGCTCATGCATGATGTACATTGTCATATTAAATTTCTTAGACATGCTCATAATACCATTAATATAACAAAGATATATAATTTAAATATAAAAAATATCATTGCAAGCAAATGTTTCGACAAACAAACCAAAAATGTTGAGTGAGAAGAAATTCAAACATATTTACTCTCACCCAACTCTTTCTCTCCATGTGCAGTTAAAGTCTGAATTGAAACATTTAACTATGTTCCTAGTTGGTTTAACAATCCAGCATGAAGCATACTGATACCACTAAAATCAGGAGCATAGAATAACTTTGTAAGGCGCTTGTTGCATGTGACTGCATTTGCTTGTGAATCCACTTCTAACTTGTGTGTATTTGTGTGTTTAGGACCAATGAGAACATCTCCCACAGGCCCCAAGTGTGTCCCTCCTCCCCAGAGGCAGATAGCCACAGCGCGTAGGCCCCCAGTCACACGCAACGGAGGAGACGCTGAGCTGGTGGAGCTCAACCAGCAGGTACGGGGCTGCTGCCATTATACTTAAGGGATACATCTACAGAGAGTGTGTGTGAAGTATAGCTCTCTAGCAGTAGTATGTTTGCATTGAAAGATACAGCTGGAACTTGGGAAATCTGAGTGGATGAAACGAAACCGTTACCTTTATTTAGGCCAGTGCTGGTTGGTTAATTCTGAGAAATGCTTATGAGTCCACTCAAAATAGCATTGCACACACATGGGATGACAAAGCCTGAAGCCTGTCTTATCTTTATTGAAACAAAAGACATATTATACAGTCTTTGACATGAATGCAAACTATTAACTTTTAGAGAAAGTGTGTTGTTTTATATGTAGTTAATTGTTTGTGTCATAATTTTTCCCAAAGCTTCTAGACATGAAGCTCACTGTTGACGGCCTGGAGAAAGAGAGAGACTTCTATTTTGGAAAGCTGAGAGACATCGAAGTCATCTGCCAAGAACATGAAAACGAGAACAACCCCATCCTCACTAAAATCATAGACATACTCTACGCTACAGAGGTAAATGTGATCACACTTTCACTAATAGCACAGACACAGATAGTATTACAAATATGGTCTGATGCAACAGTAAAGGACTGCAGATGTCACTGAAATAAATAATATATTTAACAACAGATCATTTCTCTCATGGTCACTTTATATTATATTTTTAACATACCACTAGAGGGCCCCCAAACCCCATAGATAAGTAATGCGTATTGGCTTATATAAAACAAAATCAATCTGACTATTGTATGCTTGTCTTGTTCTATGTGTTAATACTGAAAAAATGGTCAGATTATAATGCTTAACAAATCAAATAGAACATCAAATGTAACCTTTGCTTGTTTGATGCAGGAGGGCTTTGCACCACCAGAAGATGAAGATATCAATGAAGGCGCTCGAGACCAGGAAGAATACTAGACTCCCTTTTTCCTTCACCACCCCACCACCTCTTCATTCGCCTTGTTACTTACATATGTCCCTCCCATTTGCTTTAGTTTTTACACTACTCATTTCTCTCCCCAAACATGACCTGGTTTGAACCACCTCTCTACAAAGGACACTACACCAGGCCTGCGTGTACAAAGGCCCAGCTTTGGCTTAACTTGACTTATACTCTAACACGTTGCCAGAGTAGACAGCTGTACTGCTAGTGGCTGATTTATGGTTAATAGCATTGAGATTAATAGGAATCCTGCACATGTGGCCTGGAGCCAACCATGCTGTCTGTCTGAAGAGATACAACGGGCACTTTCTTCACAAAACATCTGGGTTTTCACTGCAAATTTATGGATATTCTTAAAGGGAGTCCTGCTCATATACAAATGCTTAAATGGACAATATGCTGTGATACTGAACTGGGAACCTTCAGTTGACAGATGTTGCCAAGTTAGGAGAAGCAAACAGGAGTAAAGATTGAAAAATCTAGACAATGAAGTCGCGCCATCTATTGATATCCAAAAAGTATAATTTGTTTTTTCATTTGCTGATATCTTCCAAATAGCACAATATTTTGTCTGATATGCAACAGGGAAGATGCATTGTCAAAGTTATAGCTTGTTTAAATACTTGGCATAATGTAAAATATAAGTTACATTGTATTTTAGGACTATATCGATATTGATTCATCAGTTTCTATCTGTCTGCTTCCCCAAACTAAGCCTGTGATAATATCTGTTACTGTGGGTAAGACATTGAAATGTATCTGACCTAAAAAATAGAACTGTCCCTTTAAGGAGGACTACAAATGTGCATATATATTTTCAGCATATTTCATAGACACGTTTTCATCAAAGCCACAAACATATCACAGACTTTGAAGAGCTTGTGCATAAGAAGTCATCATTCTGAGGTGAACACTACTTGTATGTACTTCTTCATCAACTCGTCTTATCCGAGGATCGCTCTTAAATGGTTAAGATTGCTTGATTATGAAACAGCATGATGTATTTATGTTTATTTATTTATGTTTTTTTTTTTTTGATCTGCTCTACACACTTTCAGAGAATAATGTGGTTTTGGATTTGGGCAATTTGAACGTCTTGCACTAAATGTAGCAAAATTGTTTGAAAAGATCCAAAATGCCAAGATGCAGTTGCTGGCTGCAGCCAGAATGATACAGGAAGATGCAATTTTATATTTTATAGATTTGTTTTAAAGGTCTGTTTTGTATTTGCATTGATTTGCTCAAAGGCCAAGTTGCAGGTTTCACTGAAAACTTATTTAGCACAAAAGAATCAGGCTTAAACAATTGTTGTAAATGAACAAAAACTGTACAGACACTACTAGATACTAATGTTTGACTGTGTTAAACATTTTAGCTGCTATCTCTTTTGTTTTACTGTATTTATTTACTTATCATCATGTTTTGCATAGCGTTTCAACAGCACATTGACAGCTGGGCTAAGCTTGATACTGGTTTGAGAGAATATTGTGCCCTCTCCCAGTTTGTTGTTTTGGCAGCCTCATGTTAAACCTGCATCATGGAATGAAATAAAGCTCTGAGGTTCAGGAAAACTAATATTTCCTCTTATGTCATTTGAACTTTTTCTGTTGCATGTCAAGTTCAGATATATTTCCTAACTCTGCCAGGAGAGAGACCTATGTGATACAAATGTTAATTATAGACAATATTGAGTAGGCCTACCTGAGCTATGTAAGAAGGAAATGTTAATGATCACTTTTATCAGTGCTATTTACATTTAAATAATTTAATGAATAAACATGGCACTGAAAAGGGTCATAAAGATGATGATTTTCAAAGAAGTCGACGTCACGCCGTCGGAGAGACGTGGCACGCTTACGTTAATGATCCCGGCCGTTCACGCTCGTGCAATCTTATGTTCACGCTGCGTCAGGAAGAGGGGAAGTTCACCGGGCCACAAACTAACAGCGCTTCTGGACAAAGAATGGCTTCAAATAATGGGTCCGCGGGGAAATGGGAGCTGGTGAAGAAAGGAAAGAAGAGTAACAATTCCGGTGGGAGTAAAAACCACAGCGATAAGAAAAACGGAGCTCGAAAAGCGCTGGGCGAGTCAAACCAGCAGCCTTCCAAACGTGAGTGAACTATGACGGGCCGCTCCGAGCCGCTAGCCGCGCTGTGCCCGTCCGTCCGCTTTACACAAGGAGGGGGTTCACTGAAGTGTAGGGCTATCTGTGAAACCAGCTACATACAGACATTAAACAATACAATTTTAAAACCTCCTAAGCTTTTCAATGAACTACATAATGTTAAAGAGGACACTTGCCCTGCTGGGACACCGCTGACAACTCTCCTGAAATGGTGCTAGCTCGTCGTTTCCTCTGCGCAGCTACTGATGTGGAAACTAAAGGGGTTTAGCCCGTGGGCAATGATTTACATCGTTTTGCTTTCATCCTAAAGTAGGGTCTACTTTATTAGAGGAATATTTTTTGTTTTATTGATGAGGGGATGTGCTGATACATTAGCTTGATGTTAGCGGAGTGTCAACAGAGCAACGTCATCATTGGAAGAAACAACCTTTTCCCCTTGGCTCGTTTATCTGGTGGTCTTATCAGTGATGAGTGTCCGGTTCAAAAATGCACTATATCGCAGTATTGAATAGTATGATCATAAAACTAATACATTTTAATCATGTTTTTTTAAACGCACTAATGCTTTTCCATATGTCCTGATAGGATTTTTAGTTTTTTTCCACAGAATGTTGGGAGGAAGTCATACCTTGTTTCCAGAAGCATCATTTCATGGTCCTGTTTCCATCCTTTATTTCCGCACTGGCTGTAGTGTGACTGAAGGCATCTCCAGGCACAGTCTAGTGGACAGATACAGTTTTAGCTTTAGAGCTGAATGAACAGTGAGCAACTGGTGACCTCTGTCAGCACCTGTCATGTCCACGGGCTGCTCATATGTTTACCGTACTCTAAAGCCACCGATATGAGCTATTTAAATACTAAATTCACTAAATTCAGCTATTTAAATACTAAATTCACTTTTTTTTTTTCTCTTTAAAAGTCAACTGAATCTGTTGGTTACCACTATATTGCCATTTAACTTTAATACAGAGTTGTACAGGATATTCTGGACACGTCATCTCTTAAATTTAGTTTATTAAATGTTTTTGAATACATTCTAAAAGGTTGCACATGAGTGATTTGGTTGAACTCTTTCCACTTTGATTGCAGCTGTTTTACAAATACTTAAAATACTGTTGGTACTTAGTTGTTGAGGACTTACGGTTCATTATGTAATTCATGAAGGGAGGGAGTAAGCAATACACAGTACAGTATTTGTGAGAGGAGGGCTCAAATCTAGTTGGATAGCTTCAGAGTTTGACCATTCATCTGTTGTGTCTCTTTCAGCTGTGAAGATGTCCGAGACTTTGTTTGAAAACTTTGACAAGATGGCAAAGAAACAGAACAAAGAGCAGGTCCCACCACCACCAGCTGAGCCGCAAACCAAGAAGCCAGTGCCCACCAAACAGCCCAAGAAGGCAAACTCCAGCAATACAGCCTCCCCAACCAAGCACAAGAGCCTTGAGGACGCATTTAAAGCTGTGAGTATATAACACACTCTTCACTTGTTGATGTTAATTTTAGTGTTAAATGACAATAGTTGAACAAGATAATCGCATACACTTATGTCCTTGGCGGCAGTAGTGTGTTGTGAGCTTTCACATTTCATGCAGAAGGTCGCTGTTTCTGTCCTTCAGTCACCCTGCCCCATTACACTATTCTGTCACTGTAATGTTACTGGTTATGAGTGGAAGGGCATGCAGCATAAAAATATTCAGTCAGCTTGTTTTGTTTACCCTTTATGAATGCTAATAATGAAAACAAAGAAAGCACATATAAAAGGGTACCTCCCCTTTGTGCTTTTTGTGCCTATTGCAAACATTTGTAAGGTTGCCATAAGATTAAACAACTGTCTACTTTTCTACTATTCTATTTTTGACGCTTTACAGTGATTTTCTTTGAAGGGCACTATCACATGTTGACGTGTGGTCTCTCGTCATAATGCCTGCTCTGTCTGAAGTTCTAAACTCTCTGGTTGCGTGTTTCTCTTGTGTCTCTGTGTCTGTAGTTGGATGTATCGGATCTGAAGCAGCAATTGAGCCGCAGTCAGACGTTGTTCCCAGAAAACCCCTCAGTCTGGGTCAAAGATCTGGCGGGTTACCTCAACCTCCACCTAACGGCCCCAGAGACAGAACCCACTCTCAGCAGCTACGCTCATGGTAAAGCACACTGCAGTTCTATATATCTTAGTACAGTTCTTTTCACTTGGTATTTCACTTATGGCTTTCTTTGGAAACTGAAGTACTTGCCTTTCTAGATGCAGTGGTTACATGCACTATCCCAGCACAAAACAAATCAATACAGTTTATTGAAGCGAAAGAAAGTATCCACGTGATCCAACAACCATTTTCATGCAGTTGATAGATCTTCACTAAAGTAGAACCCTGTTTTTTGTTGAGCTACATTTTTAAGGAATAAAAAAAAACATCACCACTTGTTTTTCTTGCAAATTTTTTGTTGATCGGTTGCTTTTCTCAGCTTAAACAGTGGACAGCCATCTCCATGCATGACGTGTCCTCTGCTATCAGCACCTGTACTTTAGTCCTTGCTTGATTTAGATATATTAGTTCTCAGTGTGGGCCCAATGTAAATCTTATGGTGAGAAAAAATGAATTATGTGATAAGAATGTGACTCTAATTAGCGAACTAGTTCTATAGCTCTAACCCAGGCCCTTTGTTTGGAAAATGTTTTTTATTTTAACCTGATGCGCAACTAGGCAGCATGGTCTTTCAGAGAAACTTCACAAACACAACCAATAGTCCCAAAAGAGTTCATGTATGGATGTATGTGGACACACTTTGCACAATAATATTTCAGAAAATCGCTTTGAATATAAACACAGAATGCAACACTTTCCAACAAACAATCCAGAATCCGCACATGAATCATAACCCAGACTCCATCTACTGCTCAGTCCTGTTCCAACCTCTCTGACTACTTTTCCAAACCAGAATTAACTTTAAATTGTCCTAGTCACTTACAAATCTTGCTCCTTGAATAAGGGATTAATTTCTACTTGACATTCTCATCCCTTCTACTTAAATTGTCAGTCCATAATAACCCAGTCCAAATCCCTTCTCAAAAACATTATGTTGTTGTCTTTAACTGTACTGTAAATAATAAAATGTATAATTATCATTGTACAATCATCTTGATTTGATGTATGGCATATCCACGACTCCTCCCGTTGCTGTGTCCCCAGATTACCCATACTGTCTCACCAGTAAGGAGCTGAAGGGCGTGATCAAAGGCCTGCTGGGACGCTGCAGTGATGCTCTGCCAGATTTCTTTGACCACTGTGTTTACACTATGCTCAGGGAGTTGGACCGGCAGTCAGGTAAATGCTGGCATCATCACAAAATACTGTGGAGGACTCAACTAGCATTGATTGGTTTCTTGGCAAAGTCTCCCTCAAGATTTAAAACGAGATTAAACTTTGAGAGCAATATGTATGCAATAAAAGATAAGACATTTAAAGTATAAACAATTATTTAATTCATGCATATTTTATACTTGTTTTATATCTCTAATGCATTTCAATTGCGTTTTACTGTTTCGATAGCTGCACAGCTCTGCAAAACTTTTCTGATTTGTGCATCTGAAATATAGGCTAAGCTAGGTGCTCCACTGCAGTACGAGTGGCTCAAACACACAGAGGAATAAAGTCTACCTTAAACTTATCTGTAACTTTCTATGTTTGCAGGAGAGCCACTATATGGTTACAGAGTTTGCATTCAGGCAATCCTTCAGGACAAGCCCAAAATAGCAACTCAAAACCTGCCTGAGGTGAGTGTGTGTGTGTGTTTTCTTCTGTCAGCACATCCTTATTATGAATGTCCAAATGCCTTAGTGACTTGCATTGCGAGATAAGTTTCATTTCTGTTTGATGTCACTTGTGTTGTAACACATGTTGTAATAGTGGGCCTCTTCCCTTTTTTCAGTATTTGGAGCTGCTGCGGTCCGTTCAGAATCGTCCAGTGAAATGTCTGACCATCATGTGGGCGCTGGGCCAGGCCGGGTTTTATGACCTCAGCCAAGGACTCCGAGGTGAACCTCTGTCAGCAAACACACCATGTTAAACACAGACATAGTTCTGCCTGCCCTTGTGATCTGATTAAAGGACCTATATTACACAAAATTAACTTTAAGCCATGTTATAATCATACCTCATCAAAAACATACCTGGAGATATATTTTACTTCATTTCACACATGTTTAGTTAAGCCTTTATCTTTAGCCTTTATCTTTTTGTAAACATTGGAAATTTCAGGGCTGAAATTGTCTAAATGATTCTAGTGAAGGTTTAAAAATTGGGGGAAAAAAAGTGGAGCACACCTGTGTCACCTCATGACATTACATGGCAGAGTGAGCACAGCCTAAATATGTAGGATTTGTGTTAAACATGTGTTAATGAGCCAAAATACAACTCCAGGGATGTTTTTGATGAGGAAACAACATTATAACATAGA